GGGCGCACACGGGGGCAGTGGGGAAGGGGGACGGGCGCACACGGGAGCAGGGGGGAAGGGGGGCGGGTGCACACGGGAGCAGTGGGGAAGGGGGACAGGCGCACACGGGAGCCGTGGGGAAGGGGGACGGGCACACCCAGGAGCACAGGAGGTGGTGCACACAAAGGTGCATGGGGGTGGGGGCGTGGGCAAAGGTACGTATGGCAGGAAATGGGGAAAGAGCTACACGGTACAGGTGTGCGTAGGGCAGGGGGTTAGGGTCACATGAGTGTAAAAAGGGGTGAGGACAGATACCTGGAAGTGGTTCCGGCTGTTGCTGTCTGTATACTTGGGAGAGTGCAAGAAGGTAAGCAGGTTCTGCCGCAGGTACCAGGCCAGGGCAGGAAGCCAGGGCCTACAGGAGGAGGGCAGGGCCAGATGCAGCACCTCTGAGGGCAGACTTCCAGGGGGCTGGATGAACTGTCAGTGGAAAGAGCATGTCAGAGCTGAATGCAGAAGTTCCAGCTTAGACAGTCCTGGAACTGTGACTGAGTCTAGGCAGGAGGCTGGAGCCTGCAAGGGAGCTGACCTCCACATCGGCTGGTGTCAGCTTGCAGTTCCGAACAAGCATGACCGTGATGACATCCAGCGTGGCCTCATCCAGGCGCCGACGCAGAACCCGCACAAGTTCATCTGTGATCTCAGGACCTTGACATAGCCATGGTGGGAAAGTAGGGACACTGCAGAGGATCCATCTATCCCATTCCAGCCCTTCACCCTCAGATCAACCCCCTGTACAGACACAGTGGTAGGTGTGCTGGCTTTGGAGGGTGCCAGCACTAGGTTCTGTTGTACTAAGCCACCATTGTGTGACTGTGGACATGTGATTTACCTCTCGAAGTCTCAGAGCCCTCATCCATAAGATGGGGCTTATAACACCACCCTCATAGCTCAAGACCTGGTGCACACTAAGTGAGTCATAAATACTGGCAGTAAAATCGAATTGCCCATTGGACACTTTGGGCTTGATATACCTGAAAGAAACCCATCATTTTCACCCCAGACTCACCCCTGCTGAGGCCAGTAGAACCCCTAGCCCTTCATAGTCACTATCACGACTCTTCCCCACGCTACACCTTAATCAGCTACAAGTATTACCCCCGAGCACTGCAGGAATCTGTCCTTTCCCACCCAGCTCCTACTTAAGGAAAGCTCACAGCAAAGCAGGATCTGGAGGGATGCCCAGGGCAGAGTGGTAAGAGGCTCTAGGGTTAGTCCTGGAAAATTCCAGAACCTCCCCTGGTCACTCCTCTATCACCTTCCTCAGTCCTTACCTGCCTGGCCTACACCATGTACCAGCAGCTGGATATGCCTGTCCACCTGGCCCACAGGACGCGCAGAATCTGAACTGCGGCTGGAAGCCATGTCCAGAGGAGAACGAGGACCCTGCAGGAACAACTACGCTCAGGACCAGCTCCAAGGAGCAAGTACGAGAAGCGTGGCATCAGGAAGTGGGAATGATACATGCCGAGGCTTCCTCAGAGCAGATGGGCTCCTGGCTTCGGGACAGAGCTAGGGATGGAGGCAGAGCATCCCCTTCCCATGGCCGGTCACTGCAGGACGTCTCCAGGAGCCTGGGAAGAGTGGCAAGACCTTCGGTCATGCATTCGCCCATGCCATCTTTGACGCATGCTCTGCCCCTTATTCTTAGGGACCACGTACCGGAGATAGTACACAGCCTTTGTTGCTCGCTCCTGATAAACAAACATATTCTTGCGGTTCACCACGGAGAAGGCATTGAGCACAGAGCGCAGGGCCTGGATGGCTGGGGGAGTCACAAGGGCTCAGGAAATTCCCTTCTCCAGATACTCCCACCTCTTTCCTAGACCTGCCCTCTCCTGCCAAACACATACCCCGAGAGACCCCCATGCTGGGCCCCATCTTGAGACGTGAATGGACTCGGATCACAGTTCCCCAAACAACGTCACAGGAGAAGTGACCAGGGACAAACTGCATTGTAGCTGCGAGGTACCCTCGGGGTGCACAGCTCTCATCAGCAGCGTAATCTGGGGAAAGGGAGAGCGCAGGTTAGGATCGGATACACAGCCCTTGCCCTGCACAGACCTTTCACCTGGGAACTGGCCTACTTGTCCTCATTTCTCCAGAGCCCTCGACCCTGTCGGTTCCCCTGCAGGGAACAGATGATGGTTCTGGGTGAAAAGACAGGGCCTAGTGGAGGCATGCCCATAGGAAGACAGGCCTGAAAGCACAAAGGCTTTCAGAATTGTCTCCGGCTCTAGAGAAAGACCTGCAGAGAGGTATTAAGAAAGGCAAAGCATGAAGAAATCCTGAAGATAATGCCAAGAAATTCTGACATGGTCATAAAATGCAGCAGTTTGGTGACAACACTGTCCTCACAGGAGTTGCAACAGTAACTTCATTAGTACAAAAAGGGCATGAATGCTCACTCCAGCTGCAGAGTCCAGGGAAACTGGACCTGGGCTTTGGAGAACAGATATTCAGAGAGCCCAAAGGATGTGTGCTGGTGCACAAGAGCCCATGACTCTAGCACAGCACCTTGCTCAGTGAACCCTTCTCAGGCTTCCAGGTTGACGGGGACCTTCTAGTAGGTCAAAGTGCCAATGCGGTTTCCCAGAGCAGCTGCTGTCAGGCAGGAGCAGCATCTAGCATGCCCTGGAGGTTGTAGAATTTCTGTGGGGAAACTCTGGAAAGGAATGCTGGTTGCTAAGGGTTTCAGGGAAAAAATATGGAGAGACTGAAATGAAGAAGGGCTGTGTCTGGGTGCTGACAGGTCTTCTAGCTCAGGCTGTGACAAGTCATTTGAAGTAAAAGTGCTTGGCTGTCCTAGCTCATCCTTAATTTGCAGAAGATGCCTGCGAAACCATGGGAGGCCACTAATTGTGGCGATTCTGCTTTGATGTGGAGTGCATCCCGGGATGTGCTGAGAGGTGCCCTCGCCTGGAGATGTTAGAGACGTCTGTCTACAGGCCAGCTGAGAATGTTAAATAAAGAACGGTCTGATTCTACTTTCAGATGAGAAGGGAGAACTGCACGCGAATGACATGATTTGGCTTTTCCTTTACGAGTAGGGTGAGAGGTCCTCAGGAGTAAGCAAAGAGAGTAAAAACGTCAAGATTTCAATGAACATCTTGAGGAGACTGTCATGTTTCCTCACCGTGATCACGAATCCCTGAAATCCCAAAAAGGTCCTGGCCCTGCCCGACTGCAGGGACAGCCAGCCAGAAGGCCAATCTTGCTACTGGACCTCAGGCTCCTCCCCTCGGTCTTTCACCTACGACCTGGCCTAACTGTCATCACTCGTCTAGACGCCTCACCTCATCTATTACCCTGCTGGGGGAAGATAATCATTTTAGGCAATGAGACAGGGCCAGGGAGGCGCCTGCCCTTTGGAAGACGGGTCACATCCTGGGGCCCCTTTAATGACCTCTTCTCTCCTATACTCTTCAACCTGTCCCTCTATGGGCCCTGTGGAACACACACATGCTCATGTCTGTTTTAAAGTGCCTCCCTTGCCTTTCGTTACTGCCATACCCATTTTCTCTCTCCCTTCACTGCTGAGCTACTCAGAACTCTCTGCTCCACCTACCTATCCTCCTTTCACTATTCAGTTCCATCTGGTTCCTATTCTCATCTCTCCACTGAAACTACTTTCATGAAAACCATGGATGAGCTCCCAACAGTCCAGCCCAGCGATCCTTTTCTCCCATCCTCATGCTCTCTATGGGCGTGGAGGACCAATTAGCTGGGATTCTGCCTCATCTTCTCACCAAATTTCTGGATAAAAGCAAGGGCAGGTGCACCGCCCTGAGGGAAGCCACTGGGCGTGCTCTCACCATCACTGAGTAGTGGTGCCCGCTGACGGGAGTGGAAGGGGGTTTCGCTACGCCACAAGTCTTCTTCACTCTCGGCCACCAGAAGGGAGTTGCACACGTGACTGTCATGGAGGTCCTGAAGCAGCAGTCGCTGGGAGAAGCAGCAGCAAGGTGTCAGGGAACTAAAATGAGTCCTTACAGGTGGGTGGTGGTGGTCAGGGGTAATCAAAGGCCAGAGAGAATGCCCATTACCATTGTGGTCAGAGGTCAAAAAGGGCATTGGTAATCACTGGGCGGTTGGAGAGGGCACTCCACAGTCGCAAAGCTCAAAGCTCTGAGCATAAACCTGGCTAAGGACACTTGTCCTACATCTTGGCCAGAATCTGTTCACCATCCTTCAGGTCTCAGTTTAAAAACCATGTCCTCTGGGAGGCCTTCCTTGATACCCTTCAAGTGGGCAGATGCCTGCTATATGCTTTCATAGCAGTCTCTACTTTTCCTTCGTAGAATTTTTCCCAACTCTAATTTAGTTTCTCTACATAAGCTCATGCAATTGCTCTGTGGAGTCAGGGTTTCCTTCTGCTTGGTTCATCATTATATCCCTAATGCTGGAACAGAGCAATGGGAGGAAGGTCTTACAGTCACTGCGCGAGTATGAGAGGGGCCCTCTGTTTCCGGGGATAGGCTGTAGAGAACTCCAGTCTGTAGGGAGCTGGGGAGAGTAACAACTCTGTTACTCTAGAGAGTAACAGAGAGTCCCAGTAACAGGGAGGCTGTGGGAGGGAGGTCAAATAAAATGCCCCATAGTTACGGATGGATCAATAGATCAATATAGGTCAGTAGCCCCTGAAAGTCAAGTTCTTAGGAACTCCTTCCTCATCCTGCCTATGTCTCAGTGCTTGGAGAGCCCTGTCCCCGCCTGCCCTTTACCTGGTTGACTTCTCTGCAGATCTCCCCAACTCGCCTCACCAGGAGTTGCTGCAGGTGGCGACACTCAGTACCTGGCCCCCCATCCTCCCGAATCAGACTCCTAGGAAGGGAGGGACCCAGCACAGATTGTGGTCAGTGTTGTGAAGGGTGAGGGAGGAGAAGTCATGGAGCTGGGGCCAAGGGAAACCATGAAAAAGAACCAGGACAAAGCGAAGTAAATTCAAGGGGAAATGGGAAAACTGGAATTCTCAAGAGCAGTTTTGGCTGCTACTTGCCTCACTAGGCCCCACTCTGGGCGTCCACCTGCTGTGCAGCCCACCCGTTTACTCAACTCTTCTTTGTCAGCATAGTGGTCTTCCCATCTCTCAACCTCACCCCTGAGATTAGAAAAGTGTTTAACCAGATGCCTAGGTATGAATCGTGGTTTTGTCACTTACTACCTATGACCCTGGACAGTATTTAACTTTTTCTTTCCCTCCTTAATAATGAATAGAAGTTTATTTAACTTACAATTTTGGAGGTTCAAGTTCAAAGGGCTGCAACTAGAGAGGGTCTTCTTATCAGTAAGGACTCCACAGAGCCCTGAGGTGGTGGAGGGTATTACATGACGGGAGTGTGTGTGTGCCTGTAAGTATTTCACTTCTCTGTACTCGTTTCCTCACTCATACTATAAAGATGTACTTTATGGGTTAAATGAGTTGATCCACATAAAATATTATGATGGAGGGACCAGCAGTTAGCATAATGGCTGTGTTGATGGACTCCCATATAGTCGACCGCGGTTCGAGTCCTAGACCCAGTGGCTTAAACTCACGCCAGGCGCGTGTGCGTGTGTGCCCAAGATCCCGAGAGAATGGAGGAGAAGGGATTGCGACATGGCCATCCCCCCCTGGGGGTGATTTCTCACTTTCTGTCTTTCTGGTGAGCGCATGCACCCTATAACAAAAACCTCTCCACCTAAAACAAAACCCCCTCAAAAAAAAAAAAAAAAAGTTATTATGATGGAGAGGCCAGCAGGTGGCGTGGTGGTTAAGGATGCTCCCACATGGCTGACCACAGTTCAAGTCCCATACCTGGTGGCTTGCTTTCTCACTTTCTTTCTCTCTCTAGTTAAATAAATAAAATTAATTAAATAAATAAAGCTAAGTTTAAAAAATGTTATGATGGTACATAGCAAGTACATGTAAGTACTTTCTGAATATTAGCTACTATTTTTCTTTTTTTAAATTATTTTATTTAATTTTATGTATTTTAACTCACCAGAGAGGGACAGAGAAAGAGAGAGAGGGAAAGTGAAAGAGCAAGCCACCAGGTCTGGGACTTGAACAGTGGTTGGTCATGTGGGAGTCCAGTGCTTTTAACCATCACATCACCGGCCGACCCCTGGGCTACTATTTTCTATTTTCAGATGTTGACATCAGAAGCTGTTCTGGACCACAACCATTCTTTTTTTAAGGTTTTTGCTATAGGGTATGTGCACTCGCCAGAGAGAGACAGAGAGACAGAAAGCGAGAAATCATTCCCCAGGGGATATGGCCGTGCCACAATCCCTTCTCCATTCTCTTACTGGGATTTTGGGGATGTATACACAAATGCCTGGCATGATCTTTTTAATTTAATTTTTTTTTTTGGTAGTGAGATTTTTGCCATAGGGTATGTTTGCTTCCTGGAGAGACAAAAAGCAAGAAATCACCCCTCAGCAGGATGGCCACACTCCAATCCCTTTTCCTCCATTCTCCTCTCTGGACTTTGGGCATGCATGCACACACACTCAGAGTAAGCCGCTGAGTCTAGAACTCGAACTGCGATCGACTATGTGGGAGTCCAGTGATGTAACTATTACACCATCTGCTGGTTCCAAATGGTGTGAATTTCAAGCCTCCAGGTTGGGGACTTGAACAGTAGTTGGCCATATGACAGTCTAGTGCTTAACCACTATGCTAACTGCTAGCCCCACCACAGCTGTTATTATTTTTTCTTTAGGGAGAGATCTTTGGTATAGGGTGCATGTGCTCACCAGAGACAGAGAGAGACAGAAAGTGAGAAATCACCCCCCAGAGGGATGGTTATGTCACAATCCCTTCTCCTTTGCTCTCCTTTCAGGCTTTTGAGCATGCACGCCCATGTGCCTGATGTGTTTCAAGCCGCAAGGTTTGGGACACAAACCACGGTTGGTCACGTGGGAGGCCAGCGACGTAATTATTACACCATCTGCTGGTCTTGCCATATTTTTTTTTTCTTTTTTGGAGGTTTTTGCTATAGGGCGCATGTGCTTGCCAGACAGACAGAGAGAGACAGAAAGCAAGAAATCACCCCCCAGGGGGGATGGCCACGC